ATGGGATAAGACGTGATTCCATCTTGAGAAAGAACATCCGGGCATGGAGACCTTATAAGAGACGACAGCGGCATAGCTGTTAAGATGCCAGATTCGGTACTTTCACAGGACAGGCCAGATTGATGATGGTCCTTACAGCCATGATGCTGGATTAACTGCTGTGCAAGCTCCTGAGCAAGGATCGCCTGTCGATGAACATCGTCGGCTGCTAGCGGCACCGCTGGACATGCAACCCGTATATATGTCGGTCTGGGGGCTTCCGTGTCGGTAGCGGCCAGCATTCCGGAAGGCGGTGGCTCGTCTCCATCTGTGAATTAGTGAGAAAATCTGTCAGCAACTATGGCTCCAGGACAGTGGACAGAGGAGCACGGTACCATCTCTATGTTGACTATCATTGTGATTATGGCTACCAGTGTTGCTGTCCCACTCCAGATTCATGTTATCCGCCTCACCTGCATTATCCTTAATGCCGGGGTCCACACTTGCTGAGCTGTCACTGGTGTAATCCAACAGTGCCACTACATCGTCACCAAGAATAGTATGGTGGAGATCTGTAAAAATATCTGTAGTCTGGGTGATGGGGGGATCAGCTACCGGCCCTTCAGCAGGATTCCATGTAATGAACGAGTGCTCCAGCCGTGTATGCAGCGGTGGGGGGGGAAGAGGATTAGCCTTGTATTGCTTCTGACGGATGGCGCGAGCGGCATTCTTCTCCGCTGTGGTTGGATACAGACGTGGGCGTCCGCGAGATGGCATGATTGAATCTTCACCTTCTGCTATTACAGGGCCTTCAGACAAGTTCTACTTCCAATTCTCATATTGCCCACTGCCAATAGGCATCTGTTGAGAAATCACTAAGTATAGCCTGGTCCGATATTCAGGGGTAATTCTTTCCTTGACACGGAATACCTGGTGAATGTGCCGCGGGGAATTCTGACCTGTCATTTGGCGCTATGGTCCCCCAAGTCATTAAACGGGCTAACCAGTATGATGAGGGCCGACAGGGTACATCTTTTGGAATGGGATCGACATCAAAGAGCCAGCGTATGGCTAAGGCATAATCTGTAGAGTGTACCCAGTCTACCTCCCATATCTTGATGGTCTCCCAGTGCTAACCTCCTATTTTCCTTCTACTTAACTGGTTGCGCATCCACTCACTTTCACTCCAGTCACTCAAGTGGATTCCCATTCAGACCGCGGGAATGCCTCCTCCGCGTAGCAACCGGTCATTCTGCTATGAGAGCAAGACATCCCGTGAAATACTAACTGGCCAGGAAAATAACCCGGATGTTCGCGGTATGCAACCCCCCTCCGCACTATACACAGTCTATGGCTGATGTAATCCAGCAGGGCCTGGATCAATCCCAATGGAAGAGAAGAGGAGGGAGTACTACTCATACCGCGGCAATGTCCCGCAGACCCTCACAGAGAAGCAGACAGCGAGTCCCTCCTCTAGCAGCGTTATGGATAAGCTTTTATGGGGATCACGCTCACCGACATGGAGTGACTTCCATTCCCGGCCGGCCAACTCCACCCCTTGCCCATCCCGGGCAGAGGAACTGTCCACTCAACAGGGTACCCGTACACCGCGCTCTCGGCCTTCCAATGACTTACCAAGTCTTTTCGAGTCCCAGGTCAGCAAGGCCACCCGGGACCGATCAATGCCAAGCCCCGCAAGCCAAGCGTCGGGCCAGCAGGATCCCTATAGCCAACAGAGATGTCTAGATCACCACGGACGGCTTTCCGGCTCCATGAACCGTGATCTGAGTCATCCTCCTGGGTCCCAATCCCGCAAGGCGCGCAGCGAGCGGCGGATGCCAAGCTCCGCAAGCCAACGGTCGGGCCAGCAGACCACTATAACCCAGCAGTTCCCACAGATCCAGAAGAGGGTCGCGGAACCGTATCCCGGTAGTCCATACGCCGCAGGCAATGGCAAACAGCGCTCGGATGACCCTGTTATTGCTGACTTATATGCTTCCCGGGATGTCTGTTCCGCTGATACCGACCAAGAGTCAGTTGACCTCCTGCCGCAGCGTTCCAGCGCCTGGAGGCGACGTCCACCGCAGCAGGACAACCAAACAACCACCTCTCAAGAGAAGCTAAGGCCCCAGCCATCCCGGGTTCATGACAGTCCTCGCCGCCAAGCCATCAGGGCCCCGGGGGGCCGTTCTTCCGTGCCAAACCATCCCGAAGAGGCCATTGCCAGCCACCGGTCGCCGCCGACACTGCTGGACCTGGAGCAGGATGGCTTGGAGTTCTCGACGGCGCCTTCCCTGTCCCACCTGCGTGATGATGCCACCTCGATCGTTACCTTGAGCTCGGACTGGGGGGATGAGGATGAAAATGAGGATGATATGAAGCTGGATCTGGAGACAGAATACCTTCGACAGGGCCAACGGGAGAAGGCGCGAATCCAGTGGTTGGTGCAACGCGTTGTGGTCCGAGATACCGAGTCGCACATGGTGGCTCGGCAGCTCAAGCGAAAGGCCACCCGACAGTGGACAGAGCCCGAGTATGAGCGACTCGTGGAGCTTTTTGCCATCTTTGGCCCGCGGTGGGAGTCGATTCTTGAGGCCGACCAAAAGCACCCCCGTGGGCCACAGATCCACCCAAGCCGGACCGGCGTGAACTTAAAAGACAAGATGCGGAACCACAAGATCAAACTCCTCCGGTATAGTAGCACTTCCCATGGCCTACCCTTCTTACTGACTGTTGAGTTTCTAGAGACGGGCGAGAGATCCCCCTCCGGCTCCACTGTATCCAGCTGACGAGAAACCACATGCGGCAGATTGCCAAACACCGGGCTCACGCCCAGTTGACCCAGCGGCTTCCTCTCCAGAACCGATGGGATGGCGCCAACGCTCGCCTCTCCCCTCCGCCATCCCGCGCCCCCACCAAGGAGCAACCGCCCACTTTTAAATGGCCCCGGGAGATTCTCTGAATGTTTTAATCTAGCGGCGAGGTGTACATACTAGTATAATATCAATCTATTATTATACCGCTTGACCCCATGGTCATCCCTCGCATTCTAGGGGCGGACTCATTTGTGGGAGAGTTCACTCCAGCGAATGCATTTAGTAAGAGTTCTGTACTGTAAAGGCGGTAAAATTGTAGCCTCTCAGTTCAGGGGATTAGGGGTCGCGAACACGTGATGCGGAAATACAGTGGCTTGAATACAATATTTGATCTCCGGGATTTTGTGCCACTCCATTAAGGGGCACAGCATTTGAGTTCGTGTATTCTCTGCAACCAATCTCGGTATCACCTGTATCACATTCATTCCTTGAGCAGTTTACATCCCGCTACCTTACAAGGGCACCAGATTGACTTCCCAGGCTGGCTGTGTTGTTGTTCCGCCCGAGAGTCGCTATTTTCCTCCTGTGGATATACAAGGTCTGTACCAGCAGGTTCCTCCCAGTAGATATATATGATACCTATTGAGTCCGTAGAATCTCTTCCATGTGCTCTTCTGACTGTACAGGAACCCCGTAAATATATATATATATTTACCTGTGAATGGACATCAGATAATAATTCTGGTATACTTATAGGCTGTGCCCAGTTTGGCTATGGCAGTTAGGAAATTCTTGATTGGCGGGGAATCGATATTCACGGGGATGGGAAAGAAGTGGCCTGAAACGCAGGATTGACTTTCCGGATTTTGTATTATTGGAATATGAGGCGCTGCATTTACAATCTTGTTATAGGTTACATTATAGAGACTGTGCAGTGCATTCAGGACATGCACAGTATACATAGCAGTTCACAAAGATCCCACCCCGCGAAGTCTTTGGTAGAAATCAGTCAAGGGTATTGGGGGGTTGGTAATGTATGGTGCGGAAATGCAGTGGCTTGAAATGCAGGATTTGACTTTCCGAATTTCGTGCCATTGAATTTCAAGACACTGTATTTAGAGCGCTGCGGTCGGCTAAGGCAGCCTTCCATGGACCCTGTGTGAAGTACTATTACCTTGTACTGTGAGCTCTTTATAAACAGTCCAACTGGTAGGGGTTATATATAGTAAATACCAAAATACCACTGCTTAAGGTTGTTAGCGGGTTCAGTAATGTAGGGGCCCGAAATGCAGTGGCCCGAAATGCAGGATTTGACTTTCTGAATTTCGTGCCACTGAATTTCCAGCCACTGTATTTAGTGTACTTAATGTGACCCCGCTACAGTGGACCAATCGGGACCATCATCGTCTGCTCGAGCTGTCTGACCAGCTCGGGCCCCACTGGGAGGCGATCCGAGCCGCGGACCGGGACCATGTTGACAGGCCCCACATCCACAGAAGTCGAAAAGGAGTCATCTGAAGGATTGAAGCTATCTAATTAAACTGCAACCGTACCGGTATCCCTGTCTCTGGTATGTTATTCCTGCTGACAGTCTACCCCTGTAGACTGGTCTGGAGATTCCTGATAAGCTCTATCTGATTCGGCTGGGGAAGTGAGAGATGCAGCTGGTGGCCCAGCAGTGCCGGCTAGACTCTATAAGGTGTGCATTAGAATTACCCTATCCTCAGGTAAAGATGGAGAGGGATTAACGGTAATCTAAGATTGGGTATACTTCATGGGACTTGACAATATCTGGATAGCACCAAAATAAATAGTTTAGCAATGTAGGATTTATATTGATACACAAAAGTCTCATACAGCTGTAGTATATTGCAGTGTGGCACGAAATACAGTGGCACAAGATACAGTGGCATGAAATTCAGTGGCACAAAATTCAAGGCTATATACAATTTTGACCATGTCACATGACCTGGCTCCAGATATACACACAAGGTAAATAAACATGCCTTACTAGAAAAACAGTGCATGCACTGGATCAGTTAGCTGTCTTACAGTATGCCCAGTGTCAGGATGGTCCATTGAAGGCGATGGATTCAGGTTTTCCCGGATCTCTTATGGTACACTGGATTCCATGGATCAGTCCTCTGGCGGATATATATCTGACAACAGGAGAATACAGCAGTTAATATATTAGTGGAATCTTCCGTTACTGTTCTCCTGAATTCCACTGGCTCTGGCTAGCCAGGTGAGAAGATGGTCTTTCAGCTATTACTGGAAGGTAGAGCAGGAACCCTATCCTGTATGGTATGGAATAGAAGCATGACGTGGGTGTTGTCTACTGTGGTACAATCATGGAGATCAAAAGAGTCACCTGCGGTAGACAATACTCTGCTGTGTCAACTGGTAAGAAACTACATGGATACAGAGGCAATATGGATGTGAACTACAGTCTGTCCTGCAACAGGAGGCTATTGTCTGAGCTGGTCATCCAGAGAGACTGCCTCGACAGAATGCCAGTAAGGGCTGGTGGAAAGGCGGCGAGAGGGGGCAGAATTGTCTCCTTCCGCTGCCCGCAAAAACAGAGGGGAGCAGTGACAGAATTCCACCTCTTCTCCTGGCCACTACGCAGCCAGAGGCGCGCTGAGATCAAGAAGGGCGGATAAGAACAGTAAGCACTTTGTACTGAGTATAAAAAACAGCCACTTCCGGGCCGGCATCAATGACAATCACCTGTGGCACGAAATTCCCAAATAGGCTAGCGTGGAATCTCGCCCTGCCTATTTGGGAATTTCGTGCCACAACATCCGCTGCGAGGTCGTCAACTTCAAACGCCTCCCATAATCCACACAAAAATCAGAAAAATAATCCAAGACCAGATTCTGGTAGCTGGGAGCTAGTGCTATTGATTAATATACAATGACAACTGCCAGGAGTCCCGTTGTAGTGTGCTTCGTGCCCCGAAGTTGCTTGATAGAATCACGGATTCGGAAATTTCCCTGCTGGTTGCTATCCAACCTATATATCTCTATCAATCTCTTATATATTGATTATCTCTTGGATACTCTCCTAATTGCTTTATCCAAACCCTACTATATGATTAAAATCTACCGGTCTCTATTCAACCCTCATGTATCCATCCAATCCTTATTAATCTAATCCTTATATATCTATTTAACTCTTATGCCTTAATAAACTCTATAATTGTTATAAAATCTGTGTATTACTCTTAATCCTTAATCTATTTATTCTGGTCTGTAGAAAATTTATTATCTCCTGATTATTATTGGATTCTTGTAATCCAGTATCTGGTATTTACTCTTGAATATCTTTATAAAATAATTCTTCTCCTACAATTTAATAAATCCTGTATATTGGAATTAAATCTGGATATTATAATAAAATCCTGCTATACTAATTTAATCTTTAGCTTTGATTTAATTTCTAATACTAAATATAATTCCTGTATTTAAATTTAATTTAACTATCTTTATAAAATCTTTCTCTTACTATTAATTACCTGGTTACTGATTATCTCTTGAATCTTAATATAGAATCTATTGGTCTTGCTATATCTTCAGGATCTAAATTTCTTACTGCAGAATCTTCTCTATTAGAATTATAATTATATTACAATACTTTCTAATATTCCTATACTTCTTATTTCTATACTTCTTATTTCTATACTTCTTATTTCTATACTCCATATTCCTATACTTCTTATTATCTTTATAAATCCTGGTATTCCTATTCTTTGGAATCCAATCCTTGATTATTTAATAAACCTGTATATTTTCACTACTCTGGTCTAGCTAACTCTAATATATCTATTCTTCTTGATTCTGGTATCTATATATATATTGCTTAAACCCTGATACTTTAATAAATCTTATATATTTTTATTGGTTGCTCTAAATTAATAGAATCCTGTAGAAAATAATATATATCTCTATATCTATACAGGAATATCTAATCTTTTAGATCTTTTCTATATAAACCGGAATATCTTTGGAATATTAATATCTAGTATTTCTGGGTCAAATTTTATATTTCTCTATTGAATGCTTGGACTGGGATTAATATTACTTAGAAATCTTAATTGGGAATCTCTTAATTAACCGGCTATTACTTTATATAATCCTAATAGATTTATGTAATCTTAGTAATATTATATTATTGTTTAAAATCTCTATATCTCTATACCCCGTGCTACCCGATTGAAAATATATATCAAATCCGGTTAATTCTGATCTACTGAATATAACTATTCTGAATAAAACTAATTAATTATAATTTATTAAATTATTTATATTCTTATCGCTATTTCCTTTTACTTAGAATCTGGATATCTAAACTAAATCCTTATATCTCTCTTAATCTTTAATATTTCTATCAAATCCTGATATTACTGTTAATTCTTTATGTTTTAACTAAATCCTTATATTTCTATTCTACCCTGATATCTCTATTCTACTTTAATATTTCTATTCTATCCTGATATCTCTATTATACTCTTATGTCTCTGTTAATTCTCTACATGACTGTGGAATTACTATATCCTTACAATAAAATCAAAATTATTATATACTAAATACTATATATACTTTAACCAATATATATAATCAGCGCCATTATAATTCACTGTCAGGAATCCTGAATATACTTATAGATAAATAATCTATATTCCTGATAACTGTTAATATATATATATATTTTTTCATAATCCTTATGTCTATAACAGCTGTATATACTTTTATAATTCGCTTATACTGATCTATACTATATACTCTGGGGGCCTCTATATCACTAATATATATAGAATAACAGCCAAAATATTAATTATATTACTTTGAATTAGATAAATATAATCCTGCTGCTGCTATTGGATATCTTTAGTAATCTAATTCTTGGTAATATAATAAACTTCTATATCTTTATAATATTTAATCTAAATTCTTATGTATTTAATGCCCCTGATATCTCTATAAACTCTCATGTGTAACAAATCCCTTATGTCTCTATAAACCCTTATATATTAACTATCTCTTATATATCAATTAACTCTGATATCTCTATCTCTTCTAGTGTTATTATCTATTCTTATAGATTTATTAATCTCTGGTATTCTCTCTGATATATGACTGCTGCTTTAATTCTATATATAACTACTATAACTCTAATAATATAAACAGGTAATGCTGGCCTTGGACTCTTGATATAGTCTTTTCTAAATATCTGTATCTGCTAGATATTCTGCTAATTTTTTCTGCTTCTCCTGTTT